TCTTGGCCTTAGCTACAGGGTTGTACCTGAAAATATAAGGTTGAATTAGTCATTTTGCTATACTCGCCTTTTTCTGGATTTTTTGAGTATTCTTCGTGAAATTTAATTTTCTATCGAGGTGGGACTCCCTAAGTACTTAACAGAATCTTCTGATAGGATTACGTTTCCTCTTATCGTGAGTTCTACTACTGGTGGATTTTACTGCTGCGTAAAGATGATGAAGTGCGTCTTTTCCGGTTGATTTTTATCTTCCATTTATCCGTGAAGCTGGAAATTCTTCCTAAATAATTTTTCTCCTGTTTGGACAATTCTTGTGTCTTTTTTTCCTGCTGTATATATTGCTGTATCGTCTGCATGTAAGGCTGTATTAACTCTTGCATCTGTGGGTAAATCTGAAATAAAAGTATGGTATAAAATGGGCGAATAAAATACAGCCCTGAGGCATCCCTTCCTGAACTTCTTGCATCCTGGACATCTTTTGATGAGCTGAAACTTGAATTGATTAGTTTAATATGTATCGCAAATATTAACTAAATAATAAGGCAATATAGCTTTGTCCATTTTGTAGATAAGGGCTTTTTTCCAGACCATATCGTACGCTTTTTATATGTCGATCCATTCCTGTTTAAGCCGATTTTCGTGTCGCTGATCACTGTTGCTAGTTGTCGTCTGTTGTTAAGTCGTCATTTTTTCCTTTTCGTAATCCAAATATATCTTCTTGTATTACTCTTCGTCTTTCTGCTTGTTTCATTAGTCTTTTGTAGATGATTTTTTCCAATATCTTTGTCGGATGTATTGGCCTACAATAATCTTCTTCCGTTCTTTTTTGTTTTTAGTAGAGGGATCATTTTCGCATGTTTTCACTTGTTAGAAAAATTCGCATTCTTCAGGCATGATCTGAAAATATTTTTGTACTGTACCATTTTTTTCTTCTGGAGTTCCTTAAGTTCAATATTGTGGATTCCTGAATACCTGAATCTTCCATTCCTGAGGCTGTGTTTCCTTTTAATTATCTTATGATTTTTGCTACTTCTGCTTGAATTAGGTAGTCTTCATCCTCTACTATGAATTAATTTCTTCTAATTATTTTCTTTTATACGTGTTTAACCATTGTTCGGTCGTTTTGTTCGTGTGACATATTTTTATTTTTCCTGTGTGTTTCAGCCATTTTCTTGCAGTTCAATCCAGTTTTTCTTGAGTTTCGTAGTGAGTTCCTTTTTTGTTGAATATTTGGTGATATCTTCTGTTTCACTCTCTTTTCTATATTTTGCGCGTCTATCAACTGAAAGTCGAGTCTTCTTTTTAAACCGAAATTCCAGTAAGTTATCGTGAATAAACCATTAATAGAACGCCAGGCAGAATATTCGAGACATTACAGGACCGTAATTACAGTCACCAAACAATATATACCTATAGTAAGCAAACCTATATATTTTCTGCCGAAATGTCAGCGTGGTTTTTTAATTATTAACATTTTAGTGCGATAATAAGATTTTATCGAATTTTCCTTTACCATTAAAAGCTTTTTACATTTTATCTATTAAAAGATGGAAAAACATTAAAAATTGCGTATTATAAAAATTTTTAAATTTATTTGTTGCTATAAAAACAGCAAAATAAGGTAAAATGCTTGTACTGCTTAACAGAATCTCAAATTTTAGATAAAAGTAAGACATAAAATAATGAAGATATAGTAATTTTACTGGTACCGTATGAAAGTTGAAGACTTTCACATTCACCAAAAAAGTTTAAAAAAATAATTTTTATAATAAATAATCCTTTCCAAAATTACTATTAATTTAACATGAAAAATTTGAATAACTTTTAAACTACTACTCGTAGATAAAATATTTTTTTATATGTGAAAATCTGACTATTTTTTACATGAATATTAACAAAAATGTGAATATGAGACAATTAGGAAAAAGTAGGGATTTTTTTTCACAACAAATTTGTTTATAATTAAGACACGTAATTAGTGTCATTTTAAAAGATACAGTTTTAAAGTTTCATCATACGAATTTTAATTTTATATTAAACATTAAACAGCATTGTCCCTATCTCTGAGATGTAGAACCATGTGGAGAAGAAACTCAGACTTCAAGCGTTCAAAAAATGAAATGGGACTTCATAATATTGTAAGTGTATGCATCTCTGGTTCTCGTTGATAGATTTTGATCTTTTTTTAATTTGTATGTACATTTATATAACATACATAAGAACTTAACATACATAATAAATACACAATGTAATTTGTAAAACAATTAAAAAAATATATTTTTCAAAAAACAAAGTTATCATTGTATTCTAATTGATTTTCTATTGTATAATAAAACTTTAAGTCTTTAACTCTTAAAGAATTAGCTGCGAATTTAAAAAATATCCCTACTTTTTACCTAATCTTCCAAGAATAACTTTTTTTCTTTGAAATTCGTGTAAAACTTGTTAGATTTTCAAATAAGAAAAAATGTTTCTACAAGTACTAGTTTTATTGTATATAAATTAAAAATAACAGTAACTTTGCAATAGTACACGCTAAAAGTAATAGTCTTCTGCGTTCATATGGTACCCATAGAATTATCGCATCTTCATGATTTTATGTCTTTATGGATATATGTTTCTTCCAACCAAAAAATGTTGTCTTTTAGTAACCCTTCATTTCTACTGAGAATATACCGATCATAGGCATATTTAGGTACTACAGTAATATGTTCAGTAGCATTGCACTACTGTTAGTCTTGGCGTTTCTTACTATTCATTGAGATGTGATATTAAAGAGAAATCTAAATTTCTTGTTCAAGAAAGACGGAATTTCTCGTCTTTGGTCTTTATTGATTGTGATTTCTCGTGATACAATGTTCTGTTTCTTGACTTTATTTATACAGGTGGTTTTCGTTAGATCGTAATTTTCTTACTAATAAACTTATTTTGTGCCCAAAGAAAAACGGAAGTTTTGTAAGGATATGGAAAATAACTCTATCATAAATCTAAAATAAGTGTGAAAAATTGTAAACGACACGGGTAGTGGCCGAGTTCCATCTCTGCGTATTCTATTCACCTTTAAGAAAGTCTTTTAAATATTTATTTGCATAGATTACACTTTTTGAATTGTTAATACTGTATTTTTGTACACAACCTGTACTCGCTGCCTAATGTCTACTTCCTCTTCTTGGAAATGGACCTGGTTATTCTATCATACCAGCTCTGGTTGATGTTGGTGTCCAGCTATTCTGTCCACATGATCTTTCCATTTGCGGCGTCGTGCTCGTGTCCACTTCATCATATACCAGGCTCCAGTTTCTCTTAATATATCCCCATTCCTTATTCAATTTCTGAGAGAAGTTTTTCTTATGGTTCTTAATATTTTCATTTCTGTAGTTCTCATCAATATTTTTGTAAGCGACGCTTCAGCTCTTGTTTCCGATGCGTATGTTAGTAATATACTTATGTACATGTATGTGAGTACTTATACATATATATTTATCATACGATACGTTATTTCGAGATCGAAATATTTTCGAGGTGAAATTTATGACTTGTTCTATGTATTCGATAATCATTAGTTTACATCTGATGGGGCTCTTGTCTATAACGATTGACTGGGTCTTTTCTGGAATATTAACATGTTTAACTTATGTGATGTTATCTTGAATCGCCAAAGTAGATGCTGTAGGTTATCTGCATTTTTTGCCATGATTTCTGCATCATCCGCATAGCAGAGGGTACTCAAAGTTCGGTTTCCCATTTTGTAGCCAATTTTAGTTTTATTTTCGCTTTCTATTATTTTCTCCATGAATTCTGCTATGCGTTTTTCTTCTTCTTCTTTTTATGTAGACATGACTCTGTTTTTCAGTGTGCCTCCAGTAAGTTGTCGTTCCATCGTTTTCGTGGTCTTCCTACTGATCCTCTTCCTTGGGAAGTTGTCTCTCGTCGTCTTTACTACTCTATTTGTTGTTATTCGGCTTATATGATCGTTTCATTCTACGCATATATTTATTACCGATGAGTATGCTTCTTGATGTTCTTCACCTTGCACCTACGTCGTATATATGTACTTCTAGCTATGTCTCATAATATCTTAACAATCAATTTTTTAAAAGTTTTCATCTCTGCTGTTTCCAACATTATTTTTATCTTCTCTATATCAGGTCGTGTTTCTACCGCTATGCTTTCATTGGTCTGATGACTGTATTCTAAATTCTTCCTTTCATTTATTTCCCAATATTTTATTTCTCCATATTGTTTAATTCAGGCATTATTTGCTCTATTCACTTGATCTTCCACTTCTGTTTTGAGCTTTCCGTAACTAGATAGTAAGATGCCATTTTTTGTTTTGTTCTATTATTTTTTGGATTAGTTTTAATAGTTGTTGGGTCAGATCTAGTCCTCCGTACTTTAGGAGTTTATTCGGTATTCTGTCCTCTTCTGGTGATTTTCTTTTTTTTAATTTCTTGAATGCTTCCTTGACTTCTTCCTCCCCTATATTTATTTCTTCGTTTGTCGTCACTTCTGGTGTTAGTGGTTCATTATTGACACCTTTAGAAAATAGGGATCGAAAGTAGCCTGCCCATGTTTCCTTCTGAATATGTATCGTTTTTAGTAGTTCGTTTATCTCTCTTCTTTGTCCTATGGTGTTCCATCTGTCGCGTTTTTTTGTTATGCCTAATGTGTAAAAATTAAGTTCGATTGGTGAAGCTTGAAACTTGTCCTCAGCTTATCGTCACTATTGTCTACTGTAATAAGGTGCAATCAAAATCTAAATCATTACACTTTTTTGGTTATTTTTGACAAAATGTATGTCTGCGTTTTTGTAATCTCGCGAATCCTCACTAAAATAAGACTATCTACAATATTTTATTTGATTTGTAGGTATGTTTTTATTTGAAAGTTTAATTTGAAGTTTAATTTGAAAAAAATTTGTTTGAAATAATTCAACCGTATCTATTTTCATTTTATGCCGAGTTCATGCAATTTTGTATTAAAATAATTATTTGTTTCAGCGCCACCGTACATATCACAGTCTCTGATGTCAATGAGTATGCTCCTACATTCTCGGAACCCAGCTACGTGCGACAAGTAGACGAGGGTAGAATCTACAACGAAATTGTCAGAGTAGAGGCCACGGATAGAGACTGTACTCCGAAGTTTGGGGATGTCTGCAAGTATGAAATTCTCACATCCGATCAACCCTTCGTTATTGACATGGACGGTGTTATTAGGTAAGTTCTGTACTGTTTCAGGAGTGATTGGCGGACGAGATATTAGGAGGTCGATGTTACATACCAACCAAGTTTGGAATTTTCGTATTTCGAATACACTAAGATATACCTAGTGTGCGTTAGATACCATATTGATACCATAGTGATTAAAACGGTTAAATGTTAAGACAGCTACTAGTAATCTAATGAGAGAGTATTAAGAATTTGTTGTATGCTTAGTTATATACTATAAATAAAATCAATAAACTCAAACTAAGTATATATTTGAAAAAAATATATATATAATCTAATAACTTATAACATTACAACACTGTGACCTCTTCAGATGTTAAGCTACAACTTACTACCGAAAAAGTGTTAACTACAATTTTTTGTGATGAAAAATGTCATGTATAAAGTAAATGCACTAAAAATGTTTTTCAAAAACTAAAGTTTCGTATTATTTATTTTAGCAGAGTTAATAAAAAATGGAACCAACAAACTATTCGAGATACTAACAGAAGTTTTCAATAGGCACTTGCACGGAGAACCAGTGCCACAAAGTTGGAAAGAAGGATGGATTACATCTATCCATAAAAAAGGAACTAAAGAAGATTGCAATAATTATCGGGGTATAACTGTTACGAGCACGCTTAGCAGATTATATGGGAGAATTACAAAAGAACGCATATGCGAAGAATACCGTCCTTTGGAATCAGAAGAACAAAACGGATTCAGAGCAGGACGATCCACAATAGATAGTATTTTCTGCTTATCCCAAATACTCCAGAAAAGAACACTAAGATCTCGAGAAGTGCATTTACTTTTAGTAAATTTAACAACAGCATATGACACCGTGCCTGTTGCGAAATTGTGGGAAGTATTGGAGAAAATCAGTATCAGCGTTCGACTAATCGACGCTATTAAAGATCTATATAACAACACAATATCAAAAGTTAAAATAGGAAATAAGGTTTCTAATGGTTTTCAGGTAACAAAAGCACCAAAGCAAGGTTTTTGTTTATCTCCCATACTATTTAATATATATATATATATATATATACAGTGTAGGAAAAATTTTATGGTCGGTATGGACCTTACGTGAGATGGAGTGAGAAACAGCTGTTTAAAAAGAGAGAGGTATATTAGGTACGCCCTTTATATCGCCGAATGGAAATATTAAAAAAGGGGAAATTCAACGTTGCCAAACTTATTGGTTTTATTTGACCTGTTGTCTTTTTTTGCATTTGAACAATGTTCTATCAAGAAGATAAAATGCTCAAGATAATCAAATTTGGGCGAAATTGATTTAAATGGCAGGTTACTGTTTTTTTTATTGGGAATATGCCACAAGTTTTCTTTACAATAATTGTAATATAACATTTTGATTTCCATTTCGGAAATCGTTTTATATAAATAAAATTTATTAATGTTTCGTATTTTAAGTACGATTTCCGAACTAAAAATCTAAACATCAAAATAATTTCCCAATATGAAATAATAAACAATTAAACATGCATACAATAACGCCAAATTAAAAAATATTCATACACTAATTTATTTGGCAACGTCTAGTCTAGATAGTCGTCTGGTCAAAAGATCGAGTAACGAGAAGTAGAGGTGGGTCGTGCTAGTTTATCGTTAACAGCGTAGGAGCAAAATTTCGGGCCAATGTTTTTTAAATGCATTCATTTTTTTCGAATCCTGAGAAAACTAATAAATATTTTTGAAAAAATTAAACGCAGAATGAAACAATACATTATTACCGAGAGCTGAAAGTCCCTGAAAACTTCTATAATGTTTATTTTAATAAGTTATAGGGATGAAAAAAAAAAACAAAATTTAGTGTGATTTTTAATTTCAAATATCTCATTAAAAAAACTTTTTGTTTATTCTAAGGGACCTTCGGCCCTCGGTAATAATGTAATCTTTCATTCTGCATTTAAATTTTTCAAAAATATTTGTTAGTTTTCTCAGGATTCCAAAAAAATTTAAATTTTTTTGAATGCTAAAAAGCATTTAAAAATTTTAATTTTCATAAACAAGTAACTATGATTGTTTAAAAGTAGTTTCAAGTAAGATAGTACCTACATAAACAAACATAACGGCTATTATCGTTTATGTGTATATCTTTTGAAGTGAAAGAAACTACCTAATGATATATTTATTATAACTTGAAAAATAAACTAAACAATCATCATCATCATATAACGGGGGTCCTACGGCGATTGCCGCTTCCCGCATTTCAGCCTCCATCTTTTCCTATCTCCCCAATCTCCCTCTTCTAAGCCTCTAGATTGCATTGTTTTTGTAATTTCTCTTCTCCAGGAATTTGGTGGTCTTCCCCTTTTCCTTCTTTCTGGCGGAACATACATTAAGGCTTTCTTTGGCCACCGCTCCTCCTCCATTCTCATCACGTGACCATACCATTGTAATTGCCTTCCTTGTATTCTATCTGAAAGAGTATCTCTAATTCCTGTACGGTTTCGTATTTCCTCATTCCTGATTCTTTCCATTCTCGATACTCGACATGACCTTCTAAGATAATCCATTTCCACAACGTCTACTTTATCTCGTTCATTCTTTGTCATCGTCCAACATTCGGCACCATATGTGGTAATTGGTTCTACAATTGCTCTGTATACGCGAAGTTTGGTATGCATCTTTATTTTATTAGACCACAGTAATGAATTCAGTATTCGGATGCATTTTTTCCCTTGGGTTATTCGGTTTTGTACATCTATCTTAACTCTGCCATCTGCTGATATGATGCTTCCTAGATATTTATACTGGTTGCAGCCTTTTATGACTGCGTTTTCAAGCCTCAGATCTGTGGTATTTCCTCCAATTTTTAAATATTCTGTTTTAAATATTCTGTTCTAAACTAAACAATACAAATAGTAAATCGGACTTACATTTACATTACACGTTATTATTAAATCGCGAATAGTCTAAATTGACATAAAAACATAAGTTTTTCTACTTTACTTCTTGTTAACCGTATTCTTTTTTATTTAAAATTAAACCAGATTTTGAACATGTGTTCACATTTACAATACTTTATGAATATAGTGGTTAAGTTAGGATATACATGGCGATGGTTTTTCCACCGTTGTAATGGACTCTCGATGCAGGTGTACGTGTAGATGAGTCATCTCCAATTAATTGATCAAAAATACACCATGGACTTAAGTCATATTTATTGGTTTCTTTTTCTTGTACTGGTTGATTTTCAATAGTACAATCTTCTTGTTCGTTAATTATAGAAGTAACCAGCTTCTTAACTTTTTGTTTTGTTCTGCACTTTAAATCGTGAATCCATAAATGTACATAATGACAATGTGCCACTCTGTTCTATCCCTCTAAATCTTTTTGCTAAACCCGATATTAGTAATTGTACTATGTCATATACTATGGATGTAAGTATGCCGTTTGCTAAAATTTTATTGCAAGATTCTTGCAGGCAGCGTACCATAACAATCACTGAACTAGCATTCAAGTATTTTTGGTCACTCATTGTACTTGTTATTTCTTTAAACGGCCGTAAAATTTGGGAAAGTTGAGAACAAATAATCCAGTGTTCTTTATTTAGATTAGGTTTAAGTCTAAGTCTGTATTATTTAATACCAATGTGGAACGGGTTGCCTCTTCTAACTCGGTCATTCTTTTTAACATGTAATAGGTGAAGTTCTACCTAGTTTCCACGTCTTGGATTGGCCGTTTGGGAACTGTGTTCTGTTGTAATTAATACTTTAAAAGCCTTTCTGAAGATAAGGTACTTTTTTGAAATGTGTTTTTTTGCAGAATTGTCGAAAAAAGGACTTTTTATTTTATCTATTTGTACACGACAGCATTTAAGTGCGTCCCCCACCAATAAATTTAATCATCATCATAAATCACAATCATCATAAAACAAAACATATTTAATAGCTTTGACCATATTTTAGGAATTATCAGTTACTGCAAAATTTACTTTTCGTTTTAGACCCGACTGATTAATAATTTCAGTAATCGCTGTTTTCTGGATTATGGTTTCCAGAAAAATGGCAGCAGCCTAATAAAAAAGTTTTGAATACTAAATTTTCGGTTAAATATTGTCCTGTTAATGCGAAGTAACTCTCAGTTACTCCAGATGTCCAGAGGTCAGTAGTAATACAGATATTTTCTACTTCTTTAACAACTTGCGATCTAATAATTTGCTCACTTTTGACATAACATTCCTGAAGTAATGAACCTGACAAAGTTTTTCTTGTTGGCGGTTTATATCCAGGAATCCACCCTGCAAACTTTTTAAAAGCTGGTTCTTTAACTATGGAAAACGGATGAAACGAAAAGTTTAGTAAATCTTGAAAATCAATCAGTCCAAGAAAAAGAAACTGATAAAGATGACTTAAGTCCATGGTGTATTTTTGATGAATTAATTGGACATGACTCATCTAAACATACACCTGTATCGAGAGGTATAAAAGAAGTCGACATGTAATTGTCTGATGATATATTACCCACAAACAATTTCGAACGGAGATTGGAACTGTCCATTACCGTGGTGAAAAAACCATCGCCATGTATATCGTAACTTAACCACTATATTCATAAAATGTTGTAGTATTGTAACAAAATCTTTTCCTTGTGAACACATGTTTAACATCTGGTATAATTTTAAATAAAAGAAGAACGCGATTAACAAGAAAAGTGGAAAAACTTATGTTTTTAAATGTCAATTTAGACGATTCGCGATTTAATAATGTGTAATGTAAATGTAACTATTTAAGTACCATTTGTATTATTTAATTTATTTTTCAAGTTACAATAAATATATCCTTCGTTAGGTTCTTTTATTTCAATACTTATACACATAAACGATAATAGCTAATATGTTTGTGTACTCGCTAATTTGAATACTGGTAAACAATCAACTAGTTACAGTTTACGAAAAACGGTTCCGATAAAAATTAAAAAAACGAGAAGACCCACCTCTAGTTTTTTAGGTATATTAGGATCGGAACCAGAGAATATCTGAT